CTCAAGTAAGCATAGACAAGGTTGATTTTCAATATTCTGTTTATTTATTGATTTGGTTACTGGAGATAGAATTTTGATGTAAGTATTAAGAAGCCAACGTCACTGATACTTATCGCTAGTAAACAAATCTACAAATAGTTAGAACATTGAAACCGGCCGTTTAAACAACAACGCACACATGGAAACGCACTTTTATGAGTACCTATATTAAATAGTGTTCCAACCACCATCTTTGCAAAGCATCCTATGCACCTTGTCCCCGTGTGCTTTTGAGTATACTCTCTGTGATGCGCGTACTATAGTATTATATTTAAATAACAATAGTTCTGTTTTACAACACAGAACGTAGGACTTCCATTTTTACCCAATTGGACCGTCTTTATATTTTTTCTCTAAAGCTGGCTTCACAATTATGGATATAATCAGATAATATACGTTATATCTTGATTTATAAAATCTTGCAATAGGCTTTCAAATTAAAAGTATCAGTCTATGAGTATGTCTATGATATATAGATAATGAAAGGTCTTATTTAACAGTAAATTATCGATGAATTAAAAATAAAAACCAAGAGTTCCCGTTAGCGCCTGTTCAAGTGGTTGACATAAGACTAAATGATTTTGCAAGTAGCATTAAGTCCAATACGTTTTGTGTTTGGTATATTGTCAGTCTTGTAAGTGTATTTTTGTCTTTATAATAGTTATAAACTAATAAATTCTTACCAAAGATGTCATCGGTGCGTTTTATTTACAACAACTGTTCAATCCATAATGGTGCGTGGTCGCACCACAATAATTATAATATTTTTTTATATACTTATATGAAAAGCTCACCCATCTCTTCACCATAAGAAGAAACTCGGGGTATTGAGGAGATATTAAAAGTGACAGCTAGTGGAGTCCGATGTAAGGGTAAAAAGTTATTGATTAATAAATGCAAAATAACCTATAAACAGAAAACTTATTAGTATTATTTAAATTAGCTTCCTTGAGATCCTTGAGAACGTATACCAACATGTACCATATGTAGTTAAAAATCCACTGGTAATATACAGGCAAATGATACAAAGAATATCCTAGTGGTCAGGAAAAGCTAATCGAAATCCCAGTATATTGCACGAGACCATAGCGGGCTTTTTTTTATGTGATAAAGTGGCAAACGAGCTGGCGGTTCACCTGATGTTAAATGCCCGCCGCCCATGGAAATTTGCAACACCCGCAGGGTTACAAATGCACCCCTTTAAATTGGGCCCCTGCCACCCCACTCACCAGACGAAACGCAGAAGTGTAACACTTCTATTTCACGCCGGTCTTCTGTGAGGTCGTGGCACTAACCCGGACGGACCTGCCCATCCGTGCAACAGTGAACACTGTTGCGTGGCCCTACCACAGCTAGGGTAAAGAAAACATATTAAAACTTTTCCGTTTCTTCTGCCTCATAATCACTTAGCATCATGAGAACCTACTGTCTTGTCTGCCACATTCTATTTCTATATTGACTAATATCAATAGTCGATAATACGTTTCTCTATATGGTTAAAAATAACAATAATATTTCACTAGTACAATGACCTTATCTTGATTATAAATCTATTAGAAATACAAAAACTGTGAGTTGAAAAAAGAAAACACAAAAAACTGAAGAAAAGTTGTAAAATAGTAAAAGTCCCGTTTTACCCTTTGGTTACGGAACCCTAAAAACTATTATGACAACACTACATACATATGCTACTTAACAAACAAACATTAATGCAAAATTTGTTTGCCCTAACTACTTTTAATAGCATTGAAATCGAAATCGTTGAAAGAATTTTACCCGAAAAGTCGGTGTCTTATATTAGTAATACTGTGTTACTGAACTTTTAGAGGTTATTCTCAAAGTTGCGCTCTACCATATATGCACGCCAAAGGTCACATATTTGCAACGTCTATAAACAGCCATATTGTTTTGTTAAGGAAAAAATCCACGGAAGGTATGTTGCAAAAAAGAACTTTCTCGAAAAGGTAATAACACGTAGGAAGAAGGTTTACTACAGTAACACCCAATAAATTTTTGACAATACATATTTTTTTATGTGAAAAGCTATCAAGCGAGCTGGTGGTTCACTTGATGCTTAGTGAATACCACCACCCATGGACATCTACTATACCCGAGGGTTTGCAAATTCGTTGATAACCTTTTAAAAATTGGGCCCCGGCTACCTCATACACCAGACGAAACGCGAAAGTATTATACTTCCGCTTTACTCTGGTCTTCTGTGAGGTCGTGGTACCTACCCGGACGAGCCTGCCCATTCGTGCAACAGTCGAGGCTGCTGCGTGGCCCTACCACCGTTAAAATATTTTAGGACATTTTCAGTAATTATGTTTTAAGGGATAAAATTTGGTTTTTTATTTGTTACTGCTAATCCTTGGATCTGTTGAATCTTGACATTATAACATTTATTTACAAGTTCAATATTTAAAGATCAGTTCGGGAAAAAGATCGTTTTGAGTGTTGCCATGCAATATTCGTTATGATTTTGTGTGAGGTTTTATTTCAAACGGCTTAAAGAGGCATAACAAAGGGTGGACTTAATCGTAATTTGCTTAGTGTAGCAGTCCACGCGAAATAAATAAAAAAGGTGAAAATACATTTAAGTTAGTAAAATCAATAAATATACAAACACATTTATCAGAAACATTATAATAAAAATCGCAATAGATTAAATGAATATCACAGATCCATTTTCATCTTGAAGATATAATGGAGATGTTGCATCAATAACAATAAAAAAAAAACAATTGAAATTCTCGAGTTACGTTTTTTTAAAATAATAATCTATTTGAGCTAAGTGCGATATTGGGATTGGGATTTAGCAATATTTCGTTAAACCACCACTTCCGAAATAAGAGAAGAATTGGAAATGTGACTGCACGGAAAAGAAAATCTAAGTCATCAATCATGGGGCTGAAGGACATATTACTTTTACGTTATCTAGTAATACAAATATATAACTGCTTATTCTAAGTCAGTCATAAAATATAATCTACGGATTGTTTAGACATGAGCACAGTTCGCGCGGCAATTTGAAAGCGAGCGGGCACCGGCCGTCAAGTGACAAAAATGGTGGAAAACCTTCGCTTCGCTTCCGATAGAAGCAGCCATTTGCATATCTTATCCGTACAAATATGGCAGTAGGCGTTTTCGCTCGTGTTAGTATTTCGGACCAAATAGCTTCTACTTGGATGTAAATAAAACTTTGTCGATGTCACATCACAAATGCACGTGACATGAGTTTTGGCCTAATGTCAATTTACCAGTCTACCTAAAGAGTTATTCACGTAAAACAGTAGTATTAATTCGACACTGAACGGGTATTTTCAAATAAAATTTTGTCCATTACTTTTTTTTTATGCGAAAAGGTGGCAAGCGATCTGGCGGTTCACCTGATGTTAAGTAATAACTAACCGCAGCTGATGACAGCCCGCCGCTGGCATTCGCAATACCCGTAGGGTCGCATATGCGTTGCCACCTTTTAAGAAAATGGGCCGCGGCTACCTCATTCAGGCGAAACGTAAAGTATAACACTTGCACTATACGCCGGTCTTCTGTGAGGTCGTGGCACTGACGGACCTGCCCATTCGTGCAACAGCTGAAGCTGTTGTGTGGCCCTACCACCGAGGACTCAATTGTCTTCACGCGTTTCCCTTCTGTTGTGTAGGTTTTTATTTAACAATGCTTCGTCACGTGGATCCATCGTAGCTCCGCGCTTTGTCTTCGGCTTGTGCTTAGCAGTAGACCACGAGGCCTGTGTTGTTGAACCTCCACTGTTGCACTCGTCCTTACTTTACCATAGAAGACCGGCGTGAAGTGGAAATATTGTGTTTGGCGTCTAGTGAAAGCCAAAAATCCGTTCAGAGAATCATCAACTTTTACCCAAAACTTTCTTCCGCGAATAAGATAGCTCGTTAAGGAAATTTATTATGGTTCGTGTCTATACTAACAGAATTCAAAACTGCTGCCCACAGCATTAAAAAAATAACAAAATAATATGACCCAATCATAAATTGCTGACCGCGGCGGCGGCAGAGCAAATTACACTCGACAGTCTTACATGAGTCAGACAACGGATATGGTAAAAACGCCATCGCGCGAGGACGGATAACTTCTTAGTTTGTTTTGATGAGTAATGTATATACAAGTCTAAATCTACATATTCTTCGTCAGAAACTTGTTAGATAAAAGTAGATAACCATTAAAAACTGTACTTTTTTAATGAGAACTCTATCATTATTAATACGTAATATGTTAATACGTAATGTTATATCTATTTTTAAGAAACGCCCGTCAGATTTGAAACGAAAATACATAGTAGGTTTACTCACTAGTACTCGTGGCAATGCTTGACCCTTATAATGCATCCTGCGTTGCGATCCATGATTGCAAATTAACCTTCAAAACATTCTTTGGGGAAGGTTACATTTACAAGTTCCGATACTACCTCATTATAGCATTCGGACAGATTAATAACTTCGTCCTTTTTGTGATATTAAATTCTTTGATTGTGATATTGTATTTATGTTTATTAATAAACTGATATTTCTGAAAAAGAGCAACTGTTGAGTTTCTTGCCGGTCTCTTCTCAACAGAAACTGCTTTCCGAACCGGTAGTACCTTACAAACATTTATACAAATTTTTATGTAAAATTTCAGGATTCATAAGAACGCGCAAGCGTCTATTCGATTAAAGATAATTGTGATTAACGTTACACTGGAGTAGGAGTCCATTTTCCTTGTTTTTATATTTTTTTAAATTGAAGTATCATGTTAAGCTTGCCGTCCGCTATACCAATTTCCTTTCATCTGTTATCGTAAGTTCGTAACTCGTAAGCTGCCAGTGCCAGTGTGAATTTCGAACGCGACGCCGCTCGACGTGTACTTCCATTTTCTTTAATTTAAAAAAAAAAAAAGTTCGCAAATTGAATAGACGATTAATGTGAGTGATAGTGCTGTTTAGGATGTCGGCTCTGTTGAAAAACGTCACTAATTGCATTTGGCATGCATTCGACTCACTGCAAAGCGGCGATTTGGTGCACAAATCGAAATTGAAGGTTCGTGGTTTTGACGTAATAATGTTTTTATTTGGATGTCGCAATTCACTTCTCAGCCACAAAGGTTTTAATGAAGTTGAGGCTCGTATTTCTTTGTTATTAAATCACAGTTTTAAAAATAATAGGAAACTTATTTCAAACATTACCCACTTAAATAATACACTTATATAATACAATATATAATAACAATGAAGTGTATATAAAATATACACTTCATTGTTATTAATTATAAAAAATATCGACGTTATTTTGTGATTGATTTGACAATAAACCTCATTTATTTTTATCGATCGAGGGATGCTTGATTGTTGATCTAGTGATTCACAATTCTCTCACCACACATTTACTACGTAATCTCCATTGAAGATTACGTCACAACACATTTGTTGTGGCAGGAAGCTATTTCCGATAAAGTACTCGGTATTCGAAGATGATAAATTTTTATCTTAAACGGGTGATCTGGGCAACATGTAATCTCTTTAACAATTCCCGCCTATTTGATTTGGTCATAAGGAATTGTATCTACTATTTGACGTATTTTATTGTATCTAAGGTTTATTTTTTAGTGATTTTATCGAACTTTGCAATGCAATGTCATGTGTCATAAAGGCCAACCACATGAGTTTGGGCCTATACACCTTCTAGCAGTTTACGTAAAGGGTGATTTATGTAAAAAAGAAGTATTCTTTCGATTTCCTGCCAGTCCGGAAAGTTTTACTTTTTCCATGGGCGTGCCGAGAGTAGGGACAAGGTGGATGCTAAACCCCGATGCTGAACCTCCGTGATAATGTTGGCTTTTCTTTTGAAATGCTAATGTAATAAATGCACATTTTTATTTACGTCGCATTATGTATCACAGTATATTCATGATTTGCAACCCCCCCCCCCCCTCTACCCCACCCTTGGGACTAAAGAAGGGGTGCGGTGATGCATTTTAGACAACGCTATGCATTTACTCTTAAAATCAATGAATATGGACGGTTTTATCTAATAATCACTACATAGTATAAATCAAATTCCTCCCGCTCTCTGTCTGTCCCTATGTATGCTTAGATCTTTAAAACTACGCAACGGATCTTGATGCTAGTTTTTGACTAGATAGAGTGATTCAAGAGGAAGGCTTATATGTATAATACATTGCACCCTTGCGAAGTCGGGGAGGGTTGCTAGTTATCTAATAGAATAGGGTCAAACAGCATATTTTAAAAACGTTTCAATTCAACTCTAAAATAAACTTGAGAACTAATTTTTTATCTACTTATATTAAATAAGAAAAACATAATATACCTTAGTTTCTATCGCTTGTATTTATATTTGTAAATAATAGAGCGAATGATAGGGAAACATCAAATACACACATTATTATCGTCTAAAACGTTTACATCATATCATAGCTGACTACAGATCACGTAAAATGCAAACGCAAGAAGCATTCCAGGAGCTGCACTATGACGTATACCATACGTATGCAAATGTGGGCTCAACATACAAAAGATTTGCATACGTTACTGAGATATCCACCTAACACTTCAATGGCAGTATAATAAACGCGCTAGGGTATTCTTTATTGGGCAAAAACAAAGAACTCGTGTACTCACTCAGTAACCTTATAGTAGAAATTGTAACATCATCCTCCTAACCTTATGTCTCTTAGATGTCGACTTGATGTGAAACACTTTCATGATATTGGCTGATTTCTTCACACAAAACTTGTTTGGAACAAACACCGGAACAATTATCTGTGGGTCACACAAGTACCTACTGTGTTGGAATCGAACCCATTACCCGAAGCCGGAGCTTATATGTTAGTAACTGCGCTTGTAATGAGCATCAGCTAAGCGATCCTGATGTGAAGGAAAGTTAAATAGTGACCTTTTAAATCGCCAATTACGATCTTTATCTTGATTATGTGAGGTGTCAAGCCGGTGAGTAAGTGATAAACGCCGTCCATGTGCATCTGCAACATGTAGGGTTGCAGATTTTTTTTTATGTAAAAAGTTGCCAAACGAGCAAACTGTTCACTTGATGGTAAGTGAATACCGCCGCCCATGGACATCTGCTACCCGAGTGTTACAGACGTCGACAGCGTTGACAACCTTTTAAAAATTGAGCTCCGGCTACCTCACTCACCAGACGAACGCGAAAGTATTTGTCATACTTCCACTTTACGCTGGTCTTCTGTGAGGTCGTGGTACTTACCTGGACGGGCCTACCCATTCGTTCAACACCGAAAACTGCTCCGTGACCCTGCCACAGTCAGAAATGGAAGTACATCATCGCTACGAATCATTGCGAAATACCCTTATAATATAGGTTTGTGTAGCGTTTTTCGCCGCGTACATTACTATCATCTATACAAAATCTATAAAAGTATTAATTAATTTATCAAATCGTCCATTATTATATCCTTGTCCTAGTTTTCGTCCCCTACTGTGCAATAACTTGTCAGAAGTGGGTCGTATATAAACTGTGATATTTATGACGTTATAGACATAACCTATATAGACGACCCCATTGGCGTGGGGGAGTAGTGACCCTGCCTCCTGCACGATATAGGGTGTGCGTTCGATCCCCACTACCGGAAAAATATTGTGTGATGAACATCGTGTTTTTCCAGTGTCTGGGTGTTTATATATGTATAATATGTATTTATTTACAAAAGAAAAGTATGTTTAAGTATGTTTACCAGTTTTCTAGTACCCATAGTACAAGTGTTGCTTAGTTTGGGATTAGAGAACGTTGTGTAAAAATGTGTCCGAAAATATTTATTATTTATTATTTGAAACAAATTTTAGATATGATTAAATCTTGCGAGTGTTGTAACGTCCTCAATCAATTCCAAATTTCCTTTCTACTAAGCAGCATACATTATAAGTTAATCTAACTCAAAATCTTAACTCGAATGTTCTTCGATTCCTATGTTAACTATTGATTATAGTACAGACTCTACCAACAATAGTTCGCGTTTCTTTCCATGGAACCCTAAAATTAATTTATCGATGCTCGAGCCCTGCTAATTTACAAAATTTTTACCTTCTATTCACTTCTGAATCCATTAAGTAATTGAAGTAAGGTGTATGATACTAGAATAGACTTTCTACTTAATGGCTGAATGAAACACGCCGCAAATGAAATGGTATTTTCAGTTCCTTTGACTTGCCCCTAAGGCGCTCTATTGATATTGGCCAATGTTTTACCAAAATATTCTACCAAAATATTCCTCGACATTATTTTACAATGAACAATCGTTAAGTCAGTATAAAACTGTAAACAGTGTAAATCTGTGTTAGCGTCATTATATTCTATATTAGGTAACAATATATAATAAAATACTCGCCTAGGAGAACGATATTCGATCTAACAAGTCTGACATTTCAAATTTAGCCTTAGAACTAATGAGAGGTTGATCAATTTCTAACTGTTACATTAAAATTGCAACCACACTTTCGCACATACAAAGTTAAACGCTAGTGAAGCTAAGAAAAGCTATTTGAATATGTCACGTTTCTAAAATGAACTAAAAGGTTACGGGGAACTTTGTCATAGAGCTCCCAAAACACTAACGAACTGATAGATTAGAAACAGAAATAATATTTCATTCCTATCCAGTTCTAAGATAAGTTTACATTTTCAAGTCTTCAGCAAACAACGTAAAAATACTGCAAAGATCGGAATAAACATTAAGCCGGTCATGATACCAACGTGATTAGCGACATATAGTGTAATCATCATGGAACGCCCGAGAGACACCACAGACCCCGTCTCAATCCAGTACGGGCCAACCGACATTGTGCCGACTAACGGAGCACTACTTCTGGCACACCCCCTCCTCCCGCATTAGTCAATAGCAGCGACGCCACGTGCAGGCTGCAGATAGGAGTTGGTTCCTGATTGCAAGGGTGGTACACCCAGGCAGAAAAGAACCCATTGACAGCCCAGGGAGCAGAGTACAGGGAGGCCGATGAGCGGCTGGCAACTCTCAGCATTCCCAACTGCAACCCCGAACTGGGAGCAAGAACAACGGTCCCCACCCGTTAGGGTCAAGTGATGGGCCTCGGACCGTCATCACTTAAGAGAGTCATAGTTACTCCCGACTCGCGTTTCGTCTGGTGAGAGAGGTGGCCGGAGCCCAATTTTAAAAAGGTTGTCAACTCATCTGGAACCCTATGGTGTAGCAGATGTCCATGGGCGGCGGTATTTACTTAACATGATGTGAACCGTCTGCTCACTTGACAACTTTCACATAAAAAAAAGTTAACTTTGACGTTAAGACCGCAAATATTTCAGCCTGCCTCGTGCAGTGTCTAATGATTTTCGAAACATCTGTAACATAAAATTGTTTCAATTAAAATGATATCTTGTAGTCAGTGGTAACAGTGTAGTGATATCGAGCAATAGATCAGCGTATGTGGCGGTCAATTTCGTTAACAAGATATATATAGAAAGCGGTGGGAATCTTCCAGACTTTGGCGTGACCGGGTCAGGGGGGTCGGGCGGGTGACGTCACATAGCCACAGTCTAGACCGAGGAGCCGCGAGACCACATGAAGAAGACCACTCTTTCCTCCCACTCCATTTTCGTTACCATTTTAAATATCGGCTTATCCGCGTCGAATGATGTCTTGCTTTCAGTTTGAGAGCTAATATGATCTTCGCTATACTTTTGTTGATGTACAAATGTTGTAATTGAATTAGTTTTGGATCTAATAATCTTATTGCCTGTTCATCCACATATGCTTAGACGTGTAGCAGACTAGCACTCTATTATTAATAGTATTAAATATTCAAATTGGCTTTTTTGTTACGTCATTATGGTAGTCTGCTTATTGCCTGTAGCATCTGACTCTGACTCATTGACAATCTAAAATTAAGAGTATACTGATATAATTTATTTCGATTTAATGTTAGTCCGAAAAGGTTGTGTATGGAAAGGTTATCAGAATATGTATATTCAATACCCAATTATTGTTAAAAGAATTAAATACTCAATTCACATACGAG